ACTGGTGAGGAGCAGCATCATCATATTATGATGATGTTTCTCCTAACCAGTCCGGCTTCCCGAGTAGCGGTTGAGAGCATGCCGAGCTTGCACACGCTCTCCTGCAGCCCGTGTCTGGGAACAGGCAAACAGGCAAAGAGTGTTAGTCTCCAGCAACCTTTTAGAAACTCTCAGACCAATCCGGCTGGACTACAGACAACTTGCAAGTCAACTCTACAAGCCCGTGGCACGCATATCCTCTGGGCCCCCTGGGCCTGGAAGCCTCGCATATGACTGATGACTGATGATGATGATGGTGATGATGATGTTGCGGCCCATGAACCTTGGACGGGCCTGGGAACCTGATGACATTGATGACTGATGATGGTGATGATGATGTTGTGGCCCATGAACCTTGAACGGGCCTGGGAACCTGATGACATTGATGACAGATGATGACGATGAGGACTCCACGGGGCATGCTTAAATTTATTTAAATTTATTAGCCTCGATGATGACTGTCATGCCACGGCACAGGTCTCAGCCCAGCTATTCTACCTGGGAGCCTGGGAACCTAGGAACCGAACCTTTCCCGAGCCTCGTGATGATTGTCATGTCACGGCACATGTCTCAGCCCAGCCAGGGAGGGAGTCTTGCGGCAGATCTTCAGCCGCAGATGAATTCGGCAACAGTCGCGAAGCCGGACTGGTTAGGAGAAACTTAATTAATTTCATTTGCGATTGCCGAGCTGAACCTGGAAGCCGATACGACACGGGCTGAAGGAGAACATGCCGAGCTTCGACACGCTCTCCTGCAGCCCGTGTCTGGGAACAGGCAAACAGGCAAAGAGTGTTAGAACCCAGCAACCTTGTGAAACCTAAACTCTCAGACCAATCCGGCTGGACTACAACTTGCAAGTCAACTCTACAAGCCCGTGGCACGCATATCCTCTGGGCCCTCTGGGCCTGGAAACCTCGACTGATGACTGAAGATGATGATGGTGATGGTGATGATGATGTTGCGGCCGCCCATGAACCTTGAACGGGCCTGGGAACCTGATGACATTGATGACTGATGATGGTGATGATGATGTTGCGGCCCATGAACCTTGAACGGGCCTGGGAACCTGATGACATTGATGACAGATGATGACGATGAGGACTCCACGGAACATGCTTCAAAATTAATGATTAAATTATTTTATTATTATATTTTATCAGCCCAGGGAGCTGGGTTGCCAGCGGAGCAATTCAAAGTTCTGTCGAACACAGACTCCCTGACTGAGGGTAACAGACTGAGCCTGGCAACCCAACGAACTATTCTACCTGGGAGCCTGGGAACCTAGGAACCGAACCTTTCCCGAGCCTCGTGATGATTGTCATGTAACGGCACATGTCTCGGCCCAGCCAGGGAGGGAGTCTTGCGGCAGATCTTCAGCCGCAGATGAATTCGGCAACAGTCGCGAAGCCGGACTGGTTAGGAGAAACTTAATAAATTTAATCATTTGCGGTTGCCGAGCTGAACCTGGAAGCCGATACCACACGGGCTGGCAGGAGAACACCTCGAGCTTCGACACGCTCTCCTGCAGCCCGTGTCTGGGAACAGGCTAACAGGCAAAGAGTGTTAGAACCCAGCAACCTTGTGAAACCTTCAACTCTCAGACCAATCCGGCTGGACTACAACTTGCAAGTCAACTCTACAAGCCCGTGGCACGCATATCCTCTGGGCCCTCTGGGCCTGGAAACCTCGACTGATGACTGAAGATGATGATGGTGCTGGTGATGATGATGTTGCGGCCCATGAACCTTGAACGGGCCTGGGAACCTGATGACATTGATGACTGATGATGGTGATGATGATGTTGCGGCCCATGAACCTTGAACGGGCCTGGGAACCTGATGACATTGATGACAGATGATGACGATGAGGACTCCACGGAACTATTATTATATTTTATCAGCCCAGGGAGCTGGGTTGCCAGCGGAGCAATTCAAAGTTCTGCCGAACACAGACTCCCTGACTGAGGGTAACAGACTGAGCTTGGCAACCCAACGAACTATTCTACCTGGGAGCCTGGGAACCTAGGAACCGAACCTTTCCCGAGCCTCGTGATGATTGTCATGTAACGGCACATGTCTCGGCCCAGCCAGGGGGGGAGTCTTGCGGCAGATCTTCAGCCGCAGATGAATTCGGCAACAGTCGCGAAGCCGGACTGGTTAGGAAAACTTATTTTAGCCGAGCTGAACCTGGAAGCCGATACCACACGGGCACGGCATGCAGGAAAGCGTGTCGAAAGGCCTTCGACACGCTCTCCTGCATGCCCGTGAACCTGGGACGGCGCGGAAGCGGCAGAATCTCTGCCGCTTCCACACTGTTTTTCTCCAGAAATTGTGACACCTAAAACTCTCAGACCAATCCGGCTGGACTACAACTTGCAAGTCAACTCTACAAGCCCGTGGCACGCATATCCTCTGGGCCCTCTGGGCCTGGAAGCCTCGCATATGACTCAGATGACTGATGATGATGATGATGGTGATGATGATGTTGCGGCCCATGAACCTTGAACAAGCCTCGGAACCTGATGACATTGATGACAGATGATGACGATGAGGACTCCACGGGGCATGCTTAATTTTCCAAGCCGTTGAGCCTGGACCTGCAATTGATGTTCCGCGTGCACGCCGTGCATTCCCCGCAGCATCAATTCGAACCAGGTGTTTCCAGTGGAAACACCTGGTTCGATTGATGCTGCGTGTGGCGCCTGGGGCCTGAAGTCTGTTGCTGCTCTGTTGCATGCACCGGCAGTGAACATCCACGGAACGGCCACCGGCAAGGTTTCCATGTCCCCAGACTCCCTCAGCGACTCTGCCACGGTCATCTGTCCACCCTTAAAGGGTGGACAGATGACGGTGGCAGAGGCGAACCCAGGCGAACAACCATGGAGCCTGGCAGTAACCTTAAAATCTTAAATATTGGGAGCCTGGGAGCCTGGGAACCTATGACTAGGAACCAGTCTCAGCAACTCAGGCCACAAAGTCGGAGCGTCGGCTGGCGCCGGTGTGGGCACCAAAGCAGCCTGGCAACACGGGGAGCGACTGGGTTGCCTATCAGCAGTGACAGTGAAATTACATCATCCAGGGTCCTTTTAGGTGGGATGTTGGGCACCCACGAAGCAACCCTTCAATGCATAGAAAAGACCCTTCAATGCAACTTTTTTGAGAATCAGCGCGTTCAAGGGTCACAAGGTTGCATCCAAGGGTCCCTCAAAGACTAAGATGCTGCTGGATGTTGGCTGGGCACCCACGATAAAACCCTTCAATGCATCCAAAAGACCCTTCAATGCACCTCTCTTAAGAATCAGCGTGTTCAAGGGTCAAAAGGTTGCATCCAAGGGTCCCTCAAAGATGCTGCTGGATGTTGGGCACCCACGATAAAATTCCTTCAATGCAACTTTTTTGAGAATCAGCGCGTTCAAGGGTCACAAGGTAGCATCCAAGGGTCCCTCAAAGATGCTGGATGTTGGGCACCCACGATACAACCCTTCAATGCATCGAAAAGACCCTTCAATGCACCTCTCTTAAGAATCAGCGCGTTCAAGGGTCAAAAGGTTGCATCCAAGGGTCCCTCAAAGATGGCTGGATGTTGGGCATCCACGAAGCAACCCTTCAATGCTTCCGGGTTTAGGGTTTAAGGTTTAGGGTTTAGGGGTTTAGGGTTTAGGCTGGTTTAGGGTTTAGGGTAAAAGACCATTTCAATGTACCTTTTTGGAGATTCAGCGCATTCAAGGGTCACAAGGTTGCATCCAAGGGTCCCTCAAAGATGCTGGATGTTGGACACCCACGAAGCAACCCTTCAATGCATCGAAAAGACCCTTCAATGCACCTTCTCGGAGATTCAGCGCATTCAAGGGTCACAAGGTTGCATCCAAGGGCCCTCAAAGATGCTGGATGTTAGTAGGCATCCACGAAGCAACCCTTCAAGGCATCCAAAAGACCCTTTAATGCACATGTTTTAAGAATCAACGCAGTCAAGGGTCACAAGGTTGCATCCAAGGGTCGCTGACTGTCAAGCCATTATGACCGCCATGTACCAGACCCTGCACTCAATCAAGTCAGGCTGGCCAGACGGATGTCGAGATTTCGGGCGCCAACTGCAGCAACACCACTTCCTTGCCATTGTCAGTACAAAGACCCTTTAACTTCAGCAGAAGTTTCAATAGACCAATTGCATCCAAGGGTCTTTTTAAGCGGAATGTTGGGTACCCACGAAGCAACCCTTCAATGCATCAACAAGACCCTTCAATGCACCTTTTTTGAGAATCAGCGCGTTCAAGGGTGACAAGGTTGCATCCAAGGGTCTTTGTAGTAGGGATGCGGGATGTTGGGCGCCAACGATACAACCCTTCAATGCATCCCAAAGACCCTTCAATGCACCTTTATTGAGAATCAGCGCGTTCAAGGGTCACAAGGTTGCATCCAAGGGTCTTTGTAGGCATGCGGGATGTTGGGCACCCACGAAGCAACCCTTCAATGCATCGAACAGACCCTTCAATGCACCTCGGAGAATCAGCGCATTCAAGGGTCATCAGGTTGCAATTCAAGGGTCGATGCATCACCCGTCAAGCCATTATGACCGCAGTTGGCCAGCCTGTACGCAGGCGCCCGTCCCACTGCAGGAGGACCTGGCGAGAATAATGGTCTAAGTACGACTCAAATGCATGAGACTCACCGGCTCGCCTCGGCGCGGGTTTGGAGGAGCCTGCTAGCCGAGAATCGTCCGCTGTCCTGGTCAGAGAAAACATCAACAAGTCTTGACAAAGACGCGCTAGCAAATCGAGCTGCATCGGCTACCTCCCGAAATTTGATTCCCGTGCAGCCAGTCGGTATTGTCATCGTCGGCTACTGTACAAGCTAAGGTTTCAATGGCCCACACAGCGACAGTCGTGCCAGGGAGCGGACAAAGTAAACTAAAAAATCACCAGCTCACAGCTCCAAGCCTGGGAGCCTGGGAGCCTTGGGAGCCTTTGACTCCGGGCGAGAAGTGCCACGATCGCCTGAGACCTCACTGCCGGCTGCCCTTACCACCTCCGGCTTCTGCTTGGCCTTGGGCACAGGGTTGTGCTTCCTCTCGGGCACCTTAGGCTGGCATACGAAAAGTTAGTCAAAATGATTATTTTTTTAACTTAAATGTTACTGTTGAATATGCCAAGAAACTCCATCAGAATATGAAAACAAACCGGCAGGCACACGGCCACGGGCTTCAATCGCCAACCTGCTCCTCGAAGGGTAGTCCGGGAGAATTGCACGAGGCCCGAATACCCTCACTGCTTGGCCGACCCCGAATCGCCTCACTGCTTCATCTTTCCCAAGCCCCAACTCGAACGTCTGATCGAGGACCACGGCCAGGCAGTTCCACTCTCCTGCAGTCATCTTCAGCAGCGGTGCGTCAGAGTCAGAGTCGTATGGAGTGGAGCGACAAGTCGAAGCCTGAGCCTCGTCGAGGTGCTTCTGCTGGATGGCCCTTCCATATTTGAATCCAGCCTTCCAGGCCGCCATTCTCACGTCGAAGGTGAGCTTCTCCCTATCCTCTAGGCTGGGGCCCGGCGGCAAGGGCCTTTCAGGCGGAGGGCACTAACAAACCGCAGGATCGAACACTCCAGCCTAACCGCCGAATCAAAAATCACTACAGGGGAAGGGATTCTCTGGGCCCTCCTATGCATTGCTCGCCTCCCCAGTCGCCACACCGCCATGTTCACAGTATTTGCGGTCGTCGGCTCCATGGCTAATTGCAGCCTAGGGAGCCTCGATGCCTGGGAGCCTGAATGCATAGGTCCCATGTTTGTGACTCCGGGCATCTGACAGATCTGAGCGGTTGCACTGTGAGTCCCCAAGCTTGCAAGCACTGACTGACTGACGAATCAACAGATCACTGACAGTCTTTGCCTCATGTTTGCACGGCCACTGCAATGCTGTACATCGAATCACCCGCTAGATTCAGTAGACACGGCGGCCCTCTCCCTAGGGTCTGATCGGATGGTGACTTCGACTGGGTACTCCAAGTTGTGCGGAAGACTGATGACCAGGGACCCACCAGAGGAAGTCGAGGTCGTCGGAGGAGAGGATGCCGTGATCGCCCTGGAGGCCAGTTGGAACGCCTGTACCGGGGTTACCGGGGCAGTGAAGCTGTGAGTCACACCTTCGATATGTCCACTTCCACCGGGTCCTACAAAAAATGCAGTGGCAGGTGTCGGTGCCGGCGGTCCATGTGGTCCTTCAGAATCTGTGGCGGGTCTGCGAGAGCAACCAGGCGTTGGAGGGGGTGGTCCGCGAGAGACAACAGGCGTTGGAGGTGGTGGTCCCCTCGGAGCGCTGGTGCCACTGCCAGTGCCCGGCGGCCCACCGGTCTCCTCATCAGTGGATCGAAGGAGGTCTTCGTCGGAGTCATCAGAGGACAGGGTCGGGTGCGGCTTGGCACTGGCTGGCTTGGCACTGGCTGGCTTGGCACTGGCTTTGACCGCTGACCGGCGCGGGGTGCGGGAAGCAGAGCGGTCACGAGGCATTTTCTTGGGCTTGGGCCCCATGTTGATCCCTAAAGCCTGGGAGCCTGGGAGCCTATGAGCCTATAATACATGTTAGACTGAGCTTTGACATGTTGCAGCCTGGCAGCCTGGGAGCCTACTATTATATGACATGTTAGACTGAGCTTTGACATGTTGGAGCCTGGCAGCCTGTCGGAGCCTTGGAGCCACTACCTAGTCTGACCTAGTCGTGATGCATCCACTTTCCAGGAAAGCGGGGCTCGTCAGAACAGCTAATGTCTGCAGCACAGCAAGGTATCGCTTGATTGAATGTGCAGTCCCATGCATGCAGGTCTACAGCGGCAGTTAAGATCAATCGGAAGCATGCAGCCCCACCTCTGCGGCGAGATCCGTCGAAGGCGGAGCCACCATCGCCTCACATCGGGAACACCCGGCAGAATTACTGCATGTGTGAGTGCCCAGCAGCACCTGTGCACTGACATTCGCCGAAGGAGGCACAACCTGGCTCCGGGTAAGGGCCATGCACAAATCACAGCTATATAGAGTGTCCAACAATTCGCAAGTCGCAGGCCTGTGCATGGACATTCGTGGAAGGCACCACCATCGCCTCGACACGGGAATGACCATGCACGAATGACAGTGCCCATATAATATATATATATATATATATATATATATATATATATATAATATATATATATATATATATATATATATACTGCACAATAAATCGCAGACCTGTGCAGGTGCATCCGGAGAAGGCTCCACCATAGCCTCCAAGCAGGCAGGATCGGCCATACAATGGCAGTGCCCTTTATATTTCTAACATATATATATATATATATATATATATATATATATATAATATATATATATATACATTATATAGTTTAATTAATTTATAATATATATATATAATTTAATTATTATAATATATATATATATATATAATTAAATATTAAATTATATTTAATATACTGCACAAGTCGCGGGTCGGCCTTTTCAGGGACACCCAGACGTGGATCCAGCATGGCCTGGATGTCGCGACGAATACCCACACATCTAAATAAGTCAATAAGCAGGAGCCACACCTCTGCGGGGATCATCGCCAGAGCTGGCGGCACCGAAGCCTCGCATTAAAGGAATCAGAGATGACTGAATGGCACATGCCGAGCACGCTCCGGCCTCTCCATTCTGGATCTCTGTCGACTGCAGGACCTGAATCAACAACAACCGGAAGCCAAAGCGAAGACAACCATGCACGTCCGGCCCACCTTAAGTCGATGAAGACCCAGTGGCCGCTCCTCGCCAAGTAGTAGTCTTAGTAGTAGTAGTAGTAGTAGTAGTAGTAGTAGTAGTAGTAGTAGTAGTAGTAGTAGTAGTAGTAGTAGTAGTAGTAGTAGTAGTAGTAGTAGTGGTAGTAGTAGTAGTAGTAGTAGTAGTAGCAGTAGTAGTAGTAGTAAGTAGTCACTACTTAGTAGTAGTAGTAGTAGTAGTAGTAGTAGTAGTAGTAGTAGTAGTAGTAGTAGTAGTAGTAGTAGTAGTAGTGTAGTGCGTGGGGGATTGATCTCGACTAGGTTGCTGCTCTCCCCACCAGAGCTGTAATGAATGTAGGTGTGGCTGGCTTGCACTCTCCACAGACTGGACCCTGTCTCTCTTACACTTCCACGCGTGCAATCCTATGCAGGCAGAACCGGCGGCCGTTCCTTTTGCACTCACTGCCGGCGGCGGTTCGTCTGTGCAACGGGATAGCTCTGATTGCTCAGGATAGAAAACACATATAGCACTTAGCTATGGGCATTGACTTGAGCCAAACGTTGCGTGGGCGGTCACATAGAACCGAGAGGGTCCGCAGCTCCACAAAGGACATCTACGCAAGGCCACGAAAGCTGAGTATTACGTCAGCTCCACGAGAGTTACGTCAGCTCCACGAGAGTTACGTCAGCTCTACGTAGGTTTACGTAAGCTCTACGTAGGCTTACGTAAGCTCTACTTAGGCTTACGTCAGCTCTACGTAGGTTTACGTATAGTACTGCGTCAAGCAATCCAATCGGAAGAGCATGCGGAAATACATCAAACCGTTTGAATGCAATATATTCTTCTCAATATGTTGAAAAACTACGTGAATTGCTCAATTTGGACCTCGCATCTTATCTGCGTGCAATTGCGCTGTATATACAATTCTCATACGCAACAAATCCGCTGCTGCGTGGGTGCACCCCCCACGAACAGCCATGCAAAGGACGGCTCCGCAACCATGTATACGTTACGTTGCGTATACGTAGCGGCGTACAGAGAGGGCTCCGCAACCTATGACGCTTTCAGCCAGAAACAAGAGAAACATGTGCTCGGCTGTTTATGTTCAGTTTGCAGTGCCAGCATGCTGCAACAATGCAGAAAGGTCGCTGTAGACCACCGTGCACCAAAAAAAAGAAAAATAGTATAGGGTGTATCCTCTTATGTATGTATGTAGCCCAACGCCTCCGGTTACCCAGAATTGGGGTAACCAGTTTGGTAACCCAGAATTCAGGTCACCAGACCCCAAGAACCAAGATAGCAGGAACCAGTTCCAAGCCCATTCCTTGACCAGTGCGAAATATGGACTTTAAACATGTCGCTGTAGTTTCCTTGTAAATCGTGTGTGTTTGCATACATTTCAAAGAGATAACATGGCATGTGTTGACAATACTGGTGAGGTGGGTTTATTTTTTCGGAGAGTATATGTGGATTTTGTGTGTCTGGCTGTATTTATCTTATATTTCTTTGAATCTACATAGGTTTTTCGGGAGTTCATGTCTATTACATACATACATACATACATATGCACACACACACATGCAATAATATATGCATGCATACATACATACCTACGTACATATACATACACACATATATAACGTACATGGATTGCTGGGCGGATGGAAGAACGATCGATGGATGGATTGGAATCTGAATAGGATGGATACAGCTTTACTGATTAGGCCAGGTATGTAATTCGGTTTATGGTGCTTGCATGCCCCGGCGATTCAGTTTCGACACCAGCTTGTATGTAGGCAGTGGATGCTAGGAGGACACGACAGCACATGCGACATTCCTGTTGCAGCTGGGCTAGCTGTACATATAGTCGTCGTGCAGCCCTTGTGAAAGTCGTGCGTGATGTAGTAATACGGTAGTGGATGTGGAGGTCTCGCCTGCACTCATGATGCTAGAGCTACATCGAGTCGTAAAGGATGAAATGTGTGTCACGCATGTGCTCCGCCCGATGACTCGAGCATGCTGCGAGCTCGTGTTCGGCAGCAGCTTCGCAAGAAAGAAGGCGGTACAGGTGCGCCCCCCCTTTGCATGTGGATTCGAGATCTGGTGGAGCAAGATCTAGAGGTGATTCACTTGTAGATGCCATTGCAGTGAATGTCTCGCAGGATTTTGCTGCATAGCATACAGCTAGCTGCACGTGCCTGCATTTTGCAGTGCACACGTTTCACGAAATGGCTGCCCAACCCGGGGCGGAAGAAGCTGGGGCTGCCTGCCCCGATGATGAGGTAGCTGCAGCTGTAGATGAAGAGCTACTCGATCGATATGGTGTTCGCGGTGTTTTTTGGGTGCAATACGCTCATTCGTTTCCTAGTGCACACGAGAAATATTTAGGCATTGCACTCCCAGGTCGCAGACTCTTCGTGACATCTTGGCTGAGTGGCTGAATGGAAAAGATGACGACGGAAAACATTCGATACTTTCCAGGATGCGCAAGGATGAGGACTCTCAAGTGTGTGTATGCACATGTACACATGCATATATGTACATGTGTCTTATAATATTTAGCAGTACATAGCAGCCTGCCTTTCAAAACCATGTGGCAGGACCACAGTTGCTTGAAGCTGGTGGAGTATGTTTCCGAGCAGGCGGTGCATGATGCAGCGGGTGTATTGAAAGAGCTGTACGCAAATTTCGGTGTAAAGCAGCCGGTGCTCTCGAAGTACAGAGTTACTTGCTTGCAGTGTTTGTGCAGTGCTGCCCGGCTTTTTATAATGCATGTACACACATGTACGACATTTCTGCGACGCACACATGCTTTCATGAGGCTGCCTTCCAATGGATCCAGGATGAGTATGCTGTCCTGCCTGTGACATCCTTGAAAAAGGAGATCCAGGCAGGTTCGCCAATCTTGGTGTTTAGAGTGTATCATATGTCCTGGGTTTCGATCTGACCAGGCCTGGACAGAGGTCCAAGCTGCTACATTGAGA